CTGTTAAGTGTGATGGGGCACCGTTTCTTTACTTAAAAGAAACGAGGCCGTTTTGTAACCGTGGTCCACAGTATAATTGCTGAGCGTGTAGTTAGCTGGTTCGCTGTAAGTGGGATAAAATAACATAAAGATTCGTCAAGAGAGAAAAGTATTCCATGACACTTATCAAGTATCGTCAAAAGAAGATGGCTGCATGCATCAACCTGGCTTCTGGTAAAGCCCCTTGGCTGCATCTTCCACAACAGGGCTGACTTGTCTGGCTGGTGGGAAGACTTTCCCAGTATGAATAATTCCTCTCTGCTGTTCTCCATATTTTCTATGGCGTGGATCCTTCGACGGTGAGGAAACAAAAGGGAAAGTATGGAGAAGCCTGTGAAGGACACGAAAAGAGGTTCGAGAAAGAAGGAGAAAAGGTGAAGAAATAGAGGAAAGTGTTGGAGAATGTATCCAATTTGTCAGGTTGGGATCTGGACAACACTGAAAATGGGTAAATAATCTTAAACTGTACTCTATTATATGTTCATACTCAGATCAGATCACTGGTGTTTTCCTTAGCTTTAATCTAAGTCTAATTCTTTGGATCTGCAATTATATAGATTATATTGGCAAAGTTTGCACCCAAAGTAGTATTAAAATGAATCAAAATCATTGATCTGAAAGTTTTTGTTGTAATTAATTTTATTTTTTTTTTCAGCAAAAACAATTTCGTTTATTAACGGCGAATAGCCCGGTGAGAGGCAAAACCCTCTGATCATACAAACAAGCTAATTTGGCCTTATCAGGCAAAGAGCTAGCGTTAAAGAAAATCATAGAAGATGGAAAATTTAAGCCAGCTGTCGCGAGAGCGTCTGCAACCTGGTTGGCTTCTCGATAGACATGTCCTATCATGGAGCCCCAAGCGGCAAGGCAAGACCGAACGTAGAGAACCGCGCTGTCAATCCTCCATGGTATCCTGGTTGACTTCCTCATCACCAAGGTGGCAAGAGCAAGCGAATCCACTTCAACCATGAAAGGGAGCTTGGCAAACGACTCACACCACTGAAACTGAAAGTTTTTGTTGTAATTAATTAAGCAAAGAATTAAATTATATAGGCAAAGGTTGCATCCAAACCACCACTATACCACACCACCAGCACCTACCACTACTACCACCATACCATCACCAACATCAACATTACCACCACAACTTATTATTATTAATAGTCCTATATTTAAATTTTTTAAAAATAAATAACAAATTCTTACTAATTAAATCTACATTAAATCAAATTTATTTATTATATTAATTCAATATATAATGTCTACAAATATATATTATTTTCATTAAATTAAAGAATATAAGAAAATATAAGGTAGATGCATGTGCATGGTAACAATAATAGAAAATATAATAGTAAGGGTATTTTGGTTCAAAAAATTATATAGTACAACTCTAAAAGCACAATATACAAAATGATTAGCACTAAAAACATGGACATAAATTAAGGATATAACTTTGAGTGAGACTTATTATTATTATTATTATTATTATTATTATTATTATTATTATTATTATTATTATTATTATTATTATTATTATTATTATTATTATTATTATTATTATTATTATTATTATTATTATTATAACAAATAATATGTTTATTTTTTGAAAAATGAATCAAACAAAAAAATTACAATTTTTTAACTTTCAATTAAATAGAAAAAGATAATTTTCTAACCTTGAGCAAAACACTCAAAGATTAAAATATTTTACAAAAAATAGTCATTTTTTGAAAAATATTATCAAAATTTTCAAACCGAGCCTAAATAAAAAAATCAATTCGAATTGGGTCTAATCAAGTCATGGTTTCAATATGCAAACTGAACTAAGAAGACAAATTAGACAATGATTGACTTTTTCCATATGATATTACTGCATGTGGTTAAATGTTTTTGAACTTTACCAACATGAAGTTGCATGCTTAGCTTATGTTTAGATCGAGGTGAAGGCATCCAACTGAAAAAAGGTGCATTAATTCGTGTCTTTAATTTATGACTTGTACTAGCTGCGTTTTATTGTGATATATATAGGCATGAAGCAAAGTTCATCCAGAAAATTGTTGAAGATATCATTGCTAAATTGGGTTCACCAATGTGAGCATATATTCATTAATGTGTATCCAACTATCAGTTTTGGCTTTTAGTTGAGATGGAGCACATGCTTCAATTTGGTATCAGAGCTAGACCAAAGACTGTATCAATTGATAGGCCTGGAGTTTGGTCTCTAAAGAGGTTCGCTTTGTTGGAATCCATGGGATGAGCGGAAGAAGGGTTGTAGTCTGGAGTTTGCTTGCAAGAACTGTGTTTGACAAGATCTCAGAAGAATTCGAGCCGGATTGGAAAGACAACAATTGCAAGAACTGTGTTTGACAAGATCTCAAAAGAATTCGAAGGTTGTAGTTTTATTCATGAAGTTAGAATTCGAAGGTTGTAGTTTTATTCATGAAGTTAGAAGTGAGTCGAGCAAACATGGTGTGGTGCACTTGCAACAGAAACTTGTATCTAAGATTCTTTCAGTAAAAGATTTGAAAATAGACAATGTGTTTGAAGGAAAAATGATGATACGACAAATGCTGCATTGCAAAAGAGTGCTTATTGCTCTTGATGATGTTGATCACATGGATCAATTATATTGGAATCATTGGCGGGAAACAATGATTGGTTTGGTCTTGGAAGTAGAATCATCATAACAACCAAGGATAAACACTTGCTTATTACCCATAAAGTGAAGATATGAAATACTTTAAAATGAGTGTGCTAGAGAAAGTTGAAAGCTCTCAGCTCTTTAGGCAGCATGCATTTAATAAACAGCTGCTGATGCTGCCTACCAAGGAATTTGAGGAGCTCGAAGCTCAAGTGGTACACTATGCTGGAGGCCTTTCATTGGCTCTTGAAGTTTTTGGCTCCCCCCTATATGGCAGAGATATTGATGAATGGAGAAATGAAGTTGCCCGACTTAAGGAAATCCCAGAAGATGAGATTTTAGAGAAACTTAAGTTTCATTAGTCTCAACAAAAATACACAAAGGATTTTCTTAGACATTGCATGCTTCTTTAATGGGAAGAAGAGAACATCCATAACAAGAATACTTAATAGTTTCGATTTCCACTCTGACATTGGCATAAAGGTTCTTAGAGAGAAATCTCTAATAACTATTTCAAAAGGTCATGTTTTGATGCATCAATTAATACAAGAAATGGGGTGGTTTATTGTTCACCATGAAGCTTCAGATGATCCCAAAAGATATAGTAGGTTGTGGCTACCTCAGGATATTTCTCAACTACTCATAGGAAGTGAGGTACGTATAGTATAGTATGTAAATAGCAGATCAGATAGATTATGCTGACATGCATCAATTGAATCCCTTCTTTTAATTAATTTAATTTATACCATTCATTTTAAGGAATTTATTTTCTTGTGAAATATTATATTGTCAGGTACAGAAAACATCGAAGGTATAGCACTTAACTTCCCGATTGCAACAGATGTAAAAGTTAATAGTGAAGTCATTCACACACATGACCAAGATAAGACTTCTCAAATTTCACAATGGAAATGCTTCTCAGGCCCCTATTTTTCTCCCTGGCTTAAAGTGGCTAGATTGGAACTGATATCCTTCAAAAACATTGCCTGCTACTTTCCAGGGACAAAAACTAGTTTCTCTTAAAATGCAATATAACCGTGTCATACAACTTTGGAAAGGATTCAAGGTTTATCTATCTATCTATCTAACTATTTAATTTATTTGTTATTTGCTTATTTTTCTTTTATATATATGTCTCACTTTGCTTGTACATACATGGCCTGGACAATTTGAAATTCGTGAATCTGAGCTACTCTCATAAACTAGTTAGGACTCCAGATTTTATAGGAATCCCAAATCTTGAAACATTGATTCTAGAACAGTGTACAAGTTTGGTAGAGATCCATGCTTCTGTTGGATTTCTCAAGAACCTTGTTTCACTTAACCTTAAGCATTGTGTGAATTTGAAGAGTCTTCCCGAAAGCATTCATTCAGAAAAGCTTGAGACAATGATCCTTTCAAGTTGCTTGAAAATTGAAAATTTTCCAAAAATTGCAACACCCATGGCTTTCTTGTTAGAAGTACATGCTGAGGCTACTGCTATAAGAGAAGTTTATCTTCACTGAAAATGCTGGATCTTAGTGATTGCAGTATGCTAGATGGAGGCATTATTGGTGATCTTGGAGGGTTACGCTGTTTGAAAGTATTGAATCTTAGCAACAACAAGTTTGGTTGTATCCCAGCTGAATCCTTTGTCGGCCTCACTCAACTTAAGCAACTTCATCTAGTGGGATGTGGCCGGATGTGGATGGGAGGCTTCAAAGTTTGCCAGAGCTTCCATCTAGTATAAATAGTGTTGCAAAAATCGTGCCTAGGCGCCGATTAATCGGCGCCTAGGCGCTAGGAGGCCGTCATGAGGAATGGTCTCGGTGGCTTCCTCCGCGGCCAGCCGCCTAGCCTCCGCCTAACCAGCCGGTTCGACGGTTTGGCGATTTTTATTTTTTTATTTTTTTTTGAAAATGTCGGAAAAGTTTCGGAAGGCATAACTTTTGACTCGGTTGTCCGATTTGGACAATTTTTTTTTTCAAATCGTGTATTTTTTCAAGATCTATACACCGCAAACGGCCAAAGGCGGTTTGGTCCACTAATTTCTCAAAAAAATGCTTCTTTAGCTCTTAATTTTAGTTTTTTATGTATTTAGATAGTTTAAACAATCTTTTGAACAATTTTACAACCACTTTTGTAAATAGTTTCTAAGAAATAACTATGGAAATCTTATGTTTTAGTACTAAATTTTGAAAAATTTTAATTTTTAATTTTTTTTAATTAATAAAAATAAAATAAAAAATAAAAAATCGGCGCCTAGGCGCCTAAGGGGCGCCTAACGTTTTTTGCCACATTGAGTAGAAAAGAGGTTTATGCAGATGAATATAATGCCCCAACTTAGAAGGCCACAACATAGATTCATTGACGAAATACCCAAAGTTGAGTCGTGTTTCATTCACTAGATGTGCTCAACTACTTGAGGATCCACGTTACGGTCACATAGTTGATGCAATATGGCAACACCTGCTCAAGGTACGTAAATCATTACAATCCAAGCATCCTTATCATGCATGCCAGCATAAATTAAAGAGTTAATGCCATTTTTGGTCCAAGACTTATTGGGGCATTGACATTTTTCATCCTCTATAATAAAAATTGCCAATTAGTAACCACTATTATTGGTCGTTAGACACTTTTGATCCTCTGTCTAAATTTTCATTTTTTGACGGTCTAAATTAGGGGTATTTTTGTCCTTCCATGTGTTCTTCTTCTCAACCTTATCTTCGATGCCGTTCTACACATCCATGCGTAGCCAGCCAGACAATATTGGAGAGAGAAGGAGAAGAACGCGGAGAGAGAGGGAGCGATCGCCGGTCAGAGCAGAAACCAGCCGGACCCAGCACCACCCTCACCCGAACCAGGTCGCCTCCATCACCGCCCGACTCTATACCACCGGGCATTGTCATCGCCAAAGAACAGTAAGCAGAAAAGAAGAAGGCTTAAAAAGACAGAAATACCCTTCACTTTCACTGTCAACAAACAGAAATTTAGACGAAGGACTAAAAGTGTCCAACGATCAATAACAGTGGCTACTAACTAGCAATTTTTATTATGGAGGATGAAAAATGCCAATGTCCCAATATATCTGGGACCAAAAAAGACATTAACTCATAAATTAAAGCCATCCCTAACTTTTTAATTAGTTGTATATGCATGCATGTTTCACACAGACAAATTTAATTATTAACGGCACGTACCGTACTACGTGGTTGGCACAGGGACTGTTAATTGACCCAAATCGCAGCATTAGTGTCTACTTTCCAGGCATGGTGTTTCCAGAGTGGTTTTCGTATAAGAATTGGGGAAATTCACTATTAGTAAGTCTGCCTCAAAATTTGTACAATAACAAATTCATGGGATTTGCATTCTGTGTGGTTTCTAACCTGATAACTACTCCAACAAGTGGGAAATTTTGCAGTATAACTAAAAACTATGGACTTGATCTCACAATCATTCCCATAACTCGTGATGGTCGTCAATCATTTATTTCATCAAATATGGGCTTTAAGGGGGTTAAACAAAATATGAGATCTGAGCTCACTTGCCTGTCATATAATTCATTTCGTCATACATATTATAATCTTAATGAATGGTGTCTAATTGAAGTTTATGCTCATTCCGATTTGGTATTCTGTACTGAAATTTAGTACGCAATGGAAGAAACCTTTTGAGCAGGCTTCTGGCTCCAATCCGTATTCGAGTTACACGGTAACTCCAAAAGAAAAACAATATAACAGAAGAAAATGATGAAGAACTCTTCAATATAATTCATTTTTGCATATCTTTAACATTACATAGAGTACCCTATATATACTATCTCAGTTCCTAAAATAATGTAATTATAATAATGGAATAACTAATTATTCTCCTAATTACCAATTACACATAAATGCTATTTCCTAATTACATATATAAGGTAATATACATTATTATTGCTACAAGATCAATGTCCATCAATGGCGTATCACTCCTTGCCTCTTCAAAAATCACCTTGTCCTCAAGGTGGAAGTATAAGTGGTTCGTCTCTTGAGTTCTACCCAACACAAATATTCAACCCAAATTTTTGGTTGTAAAATGTTAGGAAGATTGTACATCAGGTACAAGGCTCAACCACCAATACCATTGCAATATAGAGACAAATGAGAATTCCTCCTTGTGTAACCCGGTAACAAAATTCATTTTCTCTTGCAGTGTGTTCTCTTGGATATAAACTGGGGTTTTCATGAGGTAGATTTCTTTGGTAGGAGAAACTAGTGGTACATAAATCTTTTTTGGCGCACTTTCATCCTCCTTATTAGAACTCAAACTTGTACAATTCTTCATAATCGGCATTGGTTCTTCAACTGTCAATGGGATATTAGGAGGGGGTGGTGGTGGCTTGTCTAATATGTGTAAATTTTTCTCCTTGAGATCATGAACACTTTTATTATCAACTGTTAGGAACACTTGTATTAGGATTTTGATGATACCAATGTAATCTAGAAAGTAGACCCCTAACCATTATCTTTTTCATCGCCGCTTTCGTCTTAGACAAAAGTTGCCATAACTCACATGTAATTTGTGTTAAGCTAGCCAAACACACGAAGACGAGTTATGTTTAGTTGTTAGGGTTATCAAGACGAAAGAAGACACGAAGCATGAAGAATCTACAACGAGAGTTAACCAGGAGTTGTCATTGAACACGAAAGGACAGTCTTATTGATGACAATCCTTCAAGACATTCTTTCTCACCAATAGCAAGAAGAATGTCTCCACTGTCTGACTTGACAACATCCTAGGATCAAAAGGACCTCAACTTGTGGGACGCACATACCAAGGAGCGTTAAATGAAGATGTACTATTTCCTGAAGCTAAAGGACAAAACCCTAAGGCTTTCCATGCCATCAACGGATACAAGGTACAACCTCATTAATGGAGCATTTAATGCGAGAAACTCCCCGATCCTTACCCACTGGGCAATAGGTTTGAAAATTTCATCTCCCTCCAACGGGTGAAATTTTCCTCACTTATATAAACCCACCTTCATCAACTTAGAAGGTGCTGGTTCTTATCACTCGATCCATACATACGCAAAAGCTCTTAAACGACCTGAGCTCTCTCAAGCTTTTGTGAACCAGTGTTAAGGTGCAAAGATACTTGAAGAAGTTCATTGATCCTCATCTTACACCTTAAAGAAGTCTTGCCATTTGTACGAAGCAATCATTCCTCATCAGCCAAGACTTCATCACGTTGGAGAAATCAGAAATCACTTTCTACCAACCTCAACTCTGAAGAAGACGTTGATAGAGGCGGAGTAAACTCGAGGAGTTGAAAAACCTACGAAGGCTGTCCGGCTTAGTGATCAAGGAAGTCTTTGTGTAATTGTACTAACGAGTGATAGTGCAATCCTTCCATAAGTTGTGGAAGAAGAGTGGAGTAGGCAAAGATGGTCGAACCACTATAAAACTCTCGTCTCTCTATCTCTTTACTTACGCTTTTCATTTCTCCTTATAACAAAAACCCGTGCAAAGTAAATAAACGAACTTAATTTTTCCGCTGCGCCAAAACACCGAAAGGTTGTTTTTAGGGAAAAACACGAAAAGAGTCTATTCACCCCCCCCCTGTAACACCCCGAAATTTTTAAACTTTTGAAACTTATATAATAAAGGTAAATTCTCATTAAATCCCAAAACATAATAAAAGAGTACGGGGTGCTAGGCCACACCTGAGCTGGAGAACTCAGGTGCACAGGCTCACTAACTAAAATCCTCAACAATATAAATACATAAGTATGGCACGCAGGCCGAAAGGGAAACTATCTACTCTACGCTTCGGATCTCTAGCGCGCTCCAGTGTCTACTCGTCAGTACCTGAAAGCCAAATATATCTGTTCAGCAAGAGATGCTGGTAACCCACTCCAACGCGTTGAAATACAATACATATAGGCATACATATAGATATAAGAAAAACCATTTTGAAGCATGAAGATATATCCTAAGAGACTCTAGCTTTAAAAACAGGGAATAGACTCGACGGACAGAGATAAGCACAATCAACAGTCATAACCAAGCTGATAGGAATATTTTTGTATGTTTTGATGAGCCAAATGTACTTTAGATCCTCTTGGTTTTTAGATCTTTTAGTACAAGCATCATAAATCAGAATATCGAGTCAAAAGGAATCTACCATAGGAAGAACAAAATTAATTCAAGAAATTAATTTTGGTCCTACAAGTATTCATCCGAAAAAGAAGCATAAAGGAATGGCGTTGCAAAGAATGATCGGATGAGCCTAACGGTGAAATGGTAGAAGTCTTTACTCAAAATGATCACACCCAAGATCGATTCCTCCTAAGGACTTATTTTTACAAGTCAAGTTTTCGGACAAGCACAATGTGTGCTAAGGAGCACGATGTGTGCTAAAGAGCACGATGTGTGCTGACAAGCACAATGTATGCTAAGGAGCACAATGTCTGAAAAGGAGCTCAATGTTCAAGTCAAAGGAGCACAATGTGGCAAAGAAGCAAGATGATCAGAAATTGGATAAATTCGAAGGAATTTATTCTAAGTCTACCCTCATGCCACAGGAATCCAAAATTGCCTGAAAGACATTTGATCAGAACGGAAAAATTCTTATGAAGAAATGAATATAAAAACTTATCCTAGAAATAAATTCTATCAGATGAATTTATTTCAAAGATACGTTGGATATTCAAAATGACAACAAAATAATATTTTAAGAAACAACTAGAAAATCAATTGGAGATAAGATATTATTTTGTCAGGCAAGTTGACAATCAAATCAAAATTGAAGACCTCCTATTGTCAACAATATCAGGCTATGAAGATTCAAATTTCAAATATAAAATTATCCCACTCCAATGGATATATTTGATTGTCTATAAAAAGCCATGAAGACTTGAAGACATAGGAGAGGTGAACAAAAGAGATGTGCAAAATTCGAAAAGTGCAAGTGCTCAAATATTCTTAGAGACTTAGTCTGAATAGTCTCAAATCTAGTTGGAGAGAGATACAATTAACTTTGTATTTGTAATTGTAAAAAGAGTATAGCTGTGTGCAAAATACTCTAGTGAGTGTAGCTGTGTGCAAAACACTCGTAGTTGCTAAGTGTAGCTGTGTGCGAGACACTTAGTTGGCGTTGAGTATAGCTGTGTGCGAAATACTCGAAGTTGAGTGTAGCTGTGTGCGACACACTCGGAGTTGGGTGTAGCTGTGTGCAAGACATCCGGAAGAAGTGCTTGTGTAGCGCTTATTCACTATTGTAACTGTGTGTGGAAAATAGTGAATTTCTCCTAGATGCGAAAGGAGAAAAGTGGACTAGGAAGATTACGCCACTTCCGAACCACTATAAATTGCCTCTCTTATTTACATACCGCACTTACATAATTTGCTCTATCTATCTATCTTATCCGACTAACCCGTTTACTATTCACAGTTAATCTTAATCTTTCGGGTTTAGTGTGTTCTCACGTATGCATGTGACTCAAACTTCACGAGCTTAAATATTGAATTATTCTAAGCAAGTTTGACGTGTTGCATGTAACATTCGTTACACGGTCGACGTGATACGATATTTATTTACAATCTTGAATATTGTTATTATATATTGAGTGCACCATCTCCTTTATATATTCAAGATATCTTTGTCACTTTACATATCATCTGTACCTATCTTACATGCATATTCAAATTATTGGTTGGGCATAACGCTTTACATACTACTTATTCCGCTGTGCAGTTCAAACTCACTCTACCTACTTGTTATTTAGAGTTGAAATTACCAAAGAGTTATTTATTTGAAAAAGCTTAAAAGTCTATTCACCCCCCCTCTAGACTTTCACCACCCTATCGGGACCAACAATTGGTATTAGAGCGGTTGTCTATTTGAGTCAATTTTGACTGCTAGACAGATCTCGAAAAAAAAATCAAGATGATGAAAAGAGATATGGCTCTTGCCCAAAATTTATTGTTTTCCTTAGAAAAATTTGATGATTGGAAAATTCGCATGCAGGTACATTTATCCGCATTACATGATGAAATGTGGGAAGTGGTTACAAGTGGTCCTATTGAGATTTTACAAGTCAACACCTCATCCGTACAAACAAGTGACACTCCACAATACATTCCAAAACCAAAAGAGGAATGGTCTCGTGAAGATAGAACAAGAAATAACTTGGACAATATTGCCAAGGATATTTTGTTCAAATCTATCGATGACACGATATTTCCAAAAGTTCGAAAGTGTCAATCCTCGAAGGAAGTTTGGGAAACGCTCATTCAAATTGGTGAAGGAGACGAGCAAGAAAAGGATAATAAGCTTACCATAGCATTAAAGAAATTTGAGGATTTCAAAATGCTAAGTGGCGAGAATATTACCAACATGGAAACAAGATTTGCCAAAATCTTAGGAGAGATTAATGATCTT